GCCGGAAATATGACCTTCCACCTGGCATTAGCCGCGGGTGAAAAGTACTAAACACATTGATCATGCCTTGTCAAAACGATCGAAGTTGCATCATTAAAAGATTAAAAGCCAAAGTGGAAACTAATTACCTAACAGGGTAATTTCAACAAACAAACAAAGAATGTATAAACATATAAATACAAACGAAGCCGAACAGAACTAATTGTGGGATAATATCTCAGCTGCACTGAAACAAACGTTCCGACATGAATCTATTATTTTGTTTATATTTGCACAAATATCAAAACACTTTATTTTCTTCTTGTATTTCCTGAGTGCGTTTGACCGGAAAAACTAAAATACGCCACATGGATATTCATCGAATACATGGTCATGGTTTCCTGAGATAGGAATAAAAATCAATAGGCTTTCGATCTGTTTATTTCACTCATGCCCGAATGGCCTCGTTTTCATGTGGTTATTTCCTCAAGTTTCGTGCAAGTTTTAAGGATAGGTTTGTGACTTGGCTCAGGATAAAGGACAAACATTTGGATATAACCTTCACGCACGCCTGCCATGGTAAAAGGCAAACATGAAAACGAGGGCATTGGGGCAAAAGTGAATGAATAAATTGTAAAGTCTATTAATACTCAGAAAGCATCGAAACTTATATAATTATCAAAAAAGCTTAAAAAGCAATGGTTGTCATGATATGCCTTATCAGATCGCATTATAATTCGTTTGGAAAACATGTCAAAGTTCTGCGAAGAGCTGAATAGCCTGCCTCTATTCCATTTCCATCTATTACTGTCATGCATGCACCACTTTATGTCACGTGTCACTTGCAACAACATAAAAGGCTCTGATTAAACCCATCACGAAAACGAGGCCAAGACTACTGAAACACTTTCGGGACCAAATAAGCGTGGTCAACTCGATGTAAAGCGAGATGACTTTTGGCTTTCCGCTCGACATATAGTGCTCTCTATTTTCTTTCATTTCCATCGAAAAATATCTTGGCCCTGAGTCAATAAACTGTTGAGGTCGCCATTTGATCTTGGATAGAAGATTGTATTGGATTTAATATGGACTCAAACTATAACACGTTTTAGGACAGAAGCTAGTCATTACAGCAAGCATTTTTATTGATTATTAGGTATAAGATTCAAACTGAGTCTGATGATGATTTTGAAATATTTTATATTTGAGTTGCTGTGGTAAATAACATAACTTTGATCGGTTCATCTAGGTCATCAATGGGAGAAGCTGAAACAGTAGAGGGTTACATCTCAGTCTTTTGCCTGCAACAGGATGCCTACTTTCAACCATCTTTGTGATTACATTTTATTAATAAGCCCATTCTCTGTTTTGTTGATGTTTCTAGGACGCTGCGAATGTTACATTTATTTGTTACATGTATGACAACCGCCATCAACTGAGGCCAGTTTGAGAGATAATTTAAACACAATATTGGGAGATCAAATAATGCATTTACGGCATTGCACCATGCAACGAACCATTATAAGTTATTTATAAATTGAAAAACTGTGTATCTGTATATGTCTACATCAACAGTGTTATCTGAATGGGATTATTTAGAACAGTGAAATTATGCATGCATTACTGATTTACTAGAGAAAATTCTGTATTTTGGAATGACATATATTTTCGCCTGTATTCTAAAAGCTCACTCACACTCAAAAAGTGCAGGTTCAATTTGAGCTTCCCTTGAGTGTCAATGCTGTTTTTAAATAGCTGGAGGGTGAGTAGTCACACAGTAAGGTACGACACTAACCCTCCAAAGGCCGGTTGTATAAAACTCTTAATCACTTTCTTAATTACTATTTTGTAGTTAAATAGTGATTAACTCTCAAATACGCGCTTCTTATTGGATGACGTTTCCACTAACTATATTTAACTTAAAATACTTAATTTTTTATACAACCGGCCACAGCTATTCAAAAACTGCACTGACACTCAAGGGAAGCTCAGATTGAAGTGAACCTCCACTCTTTGAGTGTGAGTGAGCTTTTAGAATCAGTGACAGGCGTTTGTGTTAGACAAATGTGTAATCTCTATGTATAGGAACACAGTTTGACTTATATTCTATGCTGGCTCCAAATTTATCAGTAATAAATGGGGATCAATTACAGTTTTTACCAACTTAGAATAAAAGAGCTGTCAAGTACAGATGGATTTTCAGATCTTACTGGGGAGGGGGGCTGTGCCGAAAATTTAGGGGGGAAGTGAGTGACGTACCGCCGAACAAGCTGTAGCAGGGGTCTGGGGGCACAGTTGCTATTCTTGCCAACGGGTGTAAGGGGCCGAAGACAGCAGGAAATTTTCAGATTTTTATTCAAAATCCTTGTTTTTAGTCTTACTTAGCTCAAAATCTTTATTTCAATCGCGCTACTGTAATTTATCCCAACGAAAAAATGTTTCGATAGCAGAGGTAAAGGCCAATAATAAACAAATATATATGTTATATGTTCCAAAGTTGTATCCTTCCTATCATTACCTTTTTACACTTTCTAGCGCAGGAAATAACATTGACATTGTAATGAAAACTGGAAATAACATTGCCATAAAAAACACATTTAAAAAAAATAATCGTGTTCAGCCCATTCTGTTTATACTGGCCTCGCTGCTAATAACCTCCAGGTTTTTAATCAGCTGAACTTGGCAGCTCTAAAATATCAACAACGCTAAAAATAAACATTTTAATTACACAATGTTTATGATAATTTGAACCCATAATTTATCAGAACCACAGACTGTTCCTATGCTTCTATACGAAAAAGTAAAACATTCTTTTGTACAATATACATTCACTGTCGTATAAAATTATGTTTAGGGAAAATAAAATGCTTGCAAAATGCATACAAATAGATATTATTTATTCCATTCTTTACAGCATTCATTAGCAGTTTCCTTGCTATAGCCAGTCAATGTTTAGCGAGCGAGACTGTATCTGAGGGCAAGAGTCGTTCTCTCTTTCATTCAGGTTTTCTCTACAGTTTCCCCAAATGATTTGATTTTCTCCACAAGTATTTTGTGTTGTGCTTTCACGAATCTTTTAGTTATGAAGTAAAATTCCGAACCAAAAAGTGACTAATTTGTGTAGAAGACATCTCAATATAAAACCTTTGTGAATAGTAATTTCATTGTTTACTAGCGAGATTTAATATTGTAGCCTGCGTACAGCCTTAATCGATTAATATTATATAAATACACGGTGTCCATGTATTCACATAGTCATAATAGTAATATCCTGAAAATTCCATCCTGTTTATACTTTAACTAGAAAATAAATGCACGCCTCGCCTTACTGACAAAACCATTATATTTTCCGAACATGAAGTATTTAAAGTAGTTGTCATGGTAACATAATAATTTAATGAAGAATATTTTTATATTTGAAAAATTCCCTAAAAATATTACTTTTAACATAGGCAGCTCAAAAATGCATGTAGAATTCACCAAATGTCAATTTATAAATAAACTCGCCCCATTCCTCTGACATTTGTCGCACACCGCAAGCACTCAATGAAAAGCAATGTTCATATATATACATTATACCTCGCACACGTAGATCAAACATGATAACAAATTATAGCACATTAAACTCTGATATTTTTTCTATATAATTTTGTTTTCATAACTGCAAGAAAGCTGAAAAATTTGCACAAATATTTCATGGTTTGATGATAATTTCGCTATCTCCATGTTGGATGCTAGATGGATGTTGATTGCATTCGTTATATTTTCCAAAAAATTATGTGATTTAATTGGTTGAAAAAGTAAATTGTTTATGACGTTCTGTTTAGAGTCACAATTTGGTTTCAGCGGGGGTTGAACTACAACATGAAGACGGCAAAAAAGACTAAAATAGTCTCTCCTCTGCAGAGGCTTACATGACGTTTCTAGTGAAGGAAAAGTGATCGCAAGGAGTGGTGGGAAGAGCGAAGTAAAGGGAGTCTCTGGCGTCGTATATAATCGTTTGGAGTTCGGTTCCATATCAACCTTCTAGGATGTTAAACATTGACTTTCCTTTTCAGGCGTACTTGAGTCTCCCGGAGTGAATCCAATATCAGTATCTTCTTCTGTCCATTTGCACCGAAAAATATTGAGAAAGTACAAATGAATATAAATTGATATGAGCTATCTAATTATAAATATCCTCTAAATTGCAACTTTTCTTTATAAAAATGACTCTACTGACCTTCGATACTCAGATTATGAAAATTTATTTCAATTTCTTTCACATTTCAGTACTGATCTCAAAATATAGCGGACCGTACGGTGGCCCATAAGTGCAAAACACAAAACAAGAAACCAAAGCGCATTTCACGATTCTCAAAACACATTTACCAGTTTTCTAGATATGTCTTTATATTAACAAAACACATTTTAAAAAGTCAACACACATTTGAACATCGGAAAACACATTTGAAATCGCAAAACACATTTGACATCGCAAAACACATTTGACATCGCAAAAAACATTTGACATCACAAAACACATTCGACATCGCAAAACCATTTGACATCTCAAACCACATTTGACGTCGTGAAACACATTTGACATCTCAAACCCAGGGCCTTTCAGAGGGGGGCACTGGAGGCAATTTGCCCCGGGTCCCCAGTTTAAGGGGGCCTCCAAATTTGCAAAAACTAAAAAAATAATTTCGAACGGTTTTCGATCTAAATAATGGTATGAGAAATTTTACATTTATTGATCAAAAAAATGATTTGACCCATGTTGTAATAGGAGTTTGTCTGAAAAAATTTTTTGAACCTTAGTTTAGCTAATGTTCGACCATAAAAATTTTTTGACCCTTTTTTAATGTCCGAAAAAATGTTTTTACCCCCTCCCCCCCGCTCGCCAACATTTTCGAGAAAAAAATAGGGCCCCCGAAACAAAAATTTGCCCCGGGCTCCCGAATTTCTCTGATAAGCCCTGCTCAAACCACATTTGATATCGTGAAACACATTTGACATCACATTATTTGACATGAAAGGCAAAGCCAACTTGGTCCAAGTTTCTGCAACCATTCGCAAGTTAGAACGTCTTTTAAGACCGTTCTAACTTGCGAATGGTTGCAGAAACTTGGACCAAGAATGACACCTTAAAAGGTGTCATACAAAAAGAACTGTGCACACGATTGTAATTTCGATAAAGATGCAGATTATACACTTGTTTACCCAAATGGCACAGAAATATTGACCCTTTCCAGACCATCATGATCATATATTTCAATTGGATGAGTATCAAAAAGATCTTGGCAAGGCATTCAATTGCAATTGCACTGTTCCTTTTGAAACAAAGTGATCAGGAACTTTATAACCAGTTACAGCAAGACAATGGCAGTGACACTGATAGTGACTTAGTTACAGAAAAGGAAAGCCATATTAAACAGATGTCTGTGATTGAATCATTTGCTCGTGCTGGTTCAACTTCTATACAAACATGAAACGGTCCCTCAATGCAAGTCAGTCAAAAACATTGTATTCAGTGAATGAAAAGCTGATTGAAAAGCTTAAAAACTGGAAAGAACTTAAAGTGGATAGCTCAGGAAACTTGAAAATGAAAGTTAGCAGGCAGAATGTTTGGGAAAAGCAAAAGAGGATGTGTGCAAACCTATCAAGGTTCAGTTCATTGGAGAACCAGCTGTACGTAGTCGCAGATCAAGGTGGGCCATTACTAGAACATTTTGTGCTGGCAAATTCTGCTGCTCAAGAAAGGTTGATGTCACAGTCTGTTTTTAGACACAATATCTCAGCCTTACAACACAGGGAGTATTATGCATTTGGGCAGTTTACTGCACTTGGCCTATTACAAGGATCTCCCGGCCCTAGATGTTTCTCTGCAGTTGATTAAATTTTGAGAGGAAATATTGAAGACCTCGTGCTCTCTATTGATGAAATCCCAAATCATGACATAAAGACCAGTGTTATTGAATTGGAGGAACTCCCAAATGCTGATGAATTCAGAGAAAAAGCAAGCTTTGAAAGTGAATTCCAATTTGAAGCAAGCTACATGAAACCATTTGTGACAAAGTCTGATAAAGATGAGTTTCTCATATGCATTGCCCTTCACTACACTGTGCTTGTGCCATTGAGTGAACGTAACCAGTTTGTTAATGGTTTGAAGATTTGAAATATTTTGCAGTTAGTCCGAGAAGATCCAGATATGTTCAGAAGTCTATTTGAATTGTCAAACACCAAGCTAACATCTGAGGATATTGACTCCACACATCTGATTTCGACCCGCAATTCTGCCCTATCGGGAGTAACAAATTTTCCAAAGAATAAAAGATTATTTTCAATTTTAATCAGTACCTTAAAGATGTTGAGAATGGTAGAGTTGTTAGCCAAGTTGAAGAAAGAGAAGTCGCACTTAACCTGAATCAAATTCTTGAATTTGCAAATGGTGCACAAGAAATACCTGCAGGTTTGTTGCACTCAGCTGGGTTTCAGTTACTTTGAAATTGCGTTGTGCAATCTGCCAACTGTGGAGAGGACTCAACGCATATCAAACTCATATAAATTACTTACTACGTGAGAAAAAGTTTCTGCAATTGTCACAAACAAAATTTGTTACAAAGTTTATGTATGTCTTAACACAAACTACTGAACTTGCTTTGTATGTTCACTAGTCCGAGTCCTAGCTTTTATGGGACTTTGATATGTTGTCTTGACTCTTAATATTGAATAATAGAATTGTTAATGGTTGTGTTTCATTTTGTTTGCTTGCTTGCTTCATATTATGTGCATGCTTAAGTAAGCATTCATGCAACTGAAGGGTGTAGAGAAAGTGATGTGAAAATGAGGAGATGTCGAAAAGGATGGGGAAGAAAAAGGACAATAACAATACAACAATGCACCACATTAGTTTAAAAAATGGTTGAAAAAAATGCAATATACCATAACTTGGTAAAAAGGCATTACTACTTGGGCATTCTAAATTGGGATAAGGGAAGTGACAAATGAATATAGTGACATTAATTAAGCATGCGTTTCATCTGAATGATGTATGGGACTTGTATCTTATGATGAAATTATATACATATAAGAGTTATTTGTATACTTCTGAAAATTTTAAGAGATTTTTTTATTTTATTTTATTATATTTGCTGATTCGCCCAAGATATTGAAATTACACATAAAAGAAATAAACTATTTGCAAGAGATGGGCTAGGAGCCTACTAGAAACGATATGGCTTTTGTTTTAGGCCCCTAGGTTATAAATTTAAACTAATTAGCAATGAAAATAATGTGCAGCATCAGTTCGAGTGCTTTTAAGAGAAAGGAAAAAGAATAGTTAAATATTACATGATATGATAGTAAATATTAAATATTATATATTATTATATAATATATATAATATATATTTTATATTATATATTATTAAATATTATATTAATTATTATATTAAATATGATATGATATGATAGTATTTGTGGGCCAGAACTGATTCACATATCTTTTGGGGCAGTTTGGGATATTTATGAACATCATAATTCATGAATGTTTGCATACTGAGAAATAGCGTGCAAAGCAGTGTTCAGTCATCTATTTCTGAGGTATGAAATCTCCAAAAAGCATGAGAATGACAAGCATAGTACCTACAAATTCTAATGGTCTTGCCACACACTCCGTGTAATTCCAAGACTACATATTGTACATCCTTCATTAAGTTCCATTGTTGCTTCTGCACTTCAACTAAATCAATAAGACTTCTCTCTCTAAATGTAGCCCATTTTTTTAATAAGCCCTCTCCTTAAATGTGTCTGAAATAAATAATAGAGGTTTTACGTTATGTGTGTGTTTATGTTTAAACAGCTGTTGATAGTCTATGGTATAGTGCTAATTCACCCCTCCACGAACTTGGCTCATACCAAGCATTTCATTGGCATAAGAAGAATATTCGAGCGATTCATTTGAATCATCAGATGGATTCAGCTGACGATTAATTTCTTCTACATTCTTGGGGTTGTATTCAGGGGCGTAGCATGACCTGTTTAACTGGGGGGGTATAACATCTAAGTTTTACCGACCCACGCGCCACGAGGCGCCACCATGGTTGGCGCCGAGCGGAAAATTTTTGAAAATATGGAGTCTCTAGATCGTTGGAAATGGCATTTTCAGAGCCTTCTGTACCTTATACACACAATTAGGTTTGGTAGCTTTTATTTATATCAAACAAAACCATATTGTTGAAGTTGTGTTATTTTCGAAATCCGTGAGAATCCGTCAGATATTAACAAGCTGTGAGACTGTGAGTGTGAGCTCACCGTAAGGTTTTATTAGAATCCGTGACCGCCCCTTATACGCTACATATAACATATACCATAACAGCTATACAGCAATTGACAAATAAATATTTCGGCGCGCGTTTAATTTAATGACACTTACCGTGACTTTAGTCAGCCGTCTAGAAATAACGTAGAACCAGAAACGTAGCAAATGCTTTATTAATTGGAATAATTGTTGTCTTTGTTACTTCGCGATAAGTCATTTTACCCAATGGCATTTATCTTGTTGTTTATTGTAATGAACAGACTTGAAAAATTGGCGAAACATTTTATGAGCACCGCGTGTCAATAACAAATATATAAGTATAATCTTTAATTCTTTTGCGTATCATTGTATCAAGGTCAAAGGTTTCACGCACAGTTGAACATGTCCAATCAGAACCGACTGTTATCGCAGCTCTTGCAAGTGTAATACGATAGGAAATTAGGGGCTCGAATGCTTATGCGTAGATATTTAATATAAGTGTTTTAATACTGAAGAATTACGTACATTTTGCATAACTTTATCGGAAGAACAAGGCACAACATTAATTTAATTTTTTTTTGTTATTAAAAGCCATTTACCGAGGAGCAAAATTCCACTTTAACCGATTTGTTTTACCGACGGCTGTCATGGCTCTTGCCATTACCGAATAACTTCGCGTTTTACCGACTACCTCACTAAAACTGGTGGGGTGTCACACCCCCCCCCCCACACCCCCCCGCACGCTACGCCCCTGGGACTTGTATTGTTTGTAGTCAATAGTACCAACACTAATAAAAGGAGTCGAGTCACATTTTTGCCTTTACCTGACCGCTTCATCCATATTTACAAGTACCAACACTGTCAGGTAAATAATATAGAGTATTGGGGATTCTTGAACGATATGGTGTCGAGACTTTTGAATATAATGATTATTCCATTCAACCCTTATTTACTTCATCCAATTCTTTCTGTATGATCTTACTGAAATAAAACCAAATGCACTCCATATGCATTTGCTAGCATCAAGACTCCCTGCATCTATCAGGTCTTTGAAAAAGTTAATCCACCATGAAGTCCATGATCGCCTTAGGTGCAACCACCAAGCTTCAATACGTTGGTTGCTGTGTGAGGAACCAAAACGGTGAGCTTTTAAGCCAGCAATTAAATGAATCAGTACAATTTCTTCTGAGGAAGCACTGACCTGAGAATATAATTCCATTTTCAGTACCTCGATTAGTTCGAAGGATTACTGGCATCATCCAACTTCAATAACAGCATCTCTAAATAACTTTCCAATTACTTTAGATCATTGTTACTCATTTCAAGTTTCAACCATATCACACGCCGACTAAAAGCCATCGATTCAGCCATGTATAGGTAATCCATAAGACTTCAGACTCAGATTCATCATCAAACTCAGATCTATCCCTAGTAAAGAACGTTCCCTAATTATAGAGTACACTACAAATGAATCGAAGAAACTCGTTCAAAAACTACGTAATGCATACATTGAGAACCCGGGAAAGGGAGTGGCAGAAGTGTGGACAAAATTGACCAAGGCATATGTAGATAAACTGACAAACTTCCATAAGATTGGGTTTAAAGGCAATTAGAATTTGCAAGAATATAGTGACCTTCTATTAGAGCTACAATGCGCAAAGGAGGACGGTCGACAGCAGGGACTATCCTGGATGAACCCATCTACCTGAAACCAGCACTAACCGAATTACCTGGGGATATCCAAACTAGATGGCAGAGACATGCCTTTTCCTATAAGAGAAACCATGATGTTGACTACCCACCATTCGCTGAGTTTTCTAAGTTTATACAAGATGTATCACTCGAGAACAATGACCCAAACCTGGTCTTCGAGCGTCCCGAAAACGACAATCCTCCAGCAAGAATGTGTGATAGGTACTCTAGGCAAAGTTACAACACCAAGATTACGGATCCTTTATCTGGAGATCAAATGAAAACTCCTGACCTACATTTGTTTATCATCCTCCAGAAGTCTCTGCCCCTTAGCAAGTGCCGTGCCTTTCGTGCCATGCAAACCAATTGATGAGAGAAAAAGCCTTATTCGACAACACCGCTTGTGTTTCCGCTGTCTTACCTCGACCACCCACATGGCAAAGGAGTGTAAGCTTCCAGTTAAATGCACTGAATGCGAAAGCGACAAACATTTAGCTGCATTACATGTAAAGCGAAAGTCGAAACCAAAAGACCCAGAGGAAGTCCAAGGCGGGGAGCAAAGAAATGGCTAACAAGACGGTACGGACAAGATGGATAAGCAGCAGCAGAGTGACGTGGCCAGCCTAGTCGTATATCAACAACGCGTACCGAAATATGTGGTGATAAACCTGGTGGAAGATCATGCTCTAAGATATGTCTGGCAAACATCTATGTCAATCAACACCCCGATAGAAAGGTTAAAGCATATGTGCTTCAGTATAGATGACCAAAGCAACTGCTCACTTGCTAAGCCCCATCTTTTTGATAAACTGAATATAGACGGAGAGAGGTTCCCTTATACTTTGAGAAAGTGTGCTGGCACGATGCAGACCGAGGAGAGGCATGTCAAAGGTCTTGTAATCGAATCATTGGATGGCATAAACGACACCTGCTTCCCACCTTAACAGAGTGCAATGCAATACCAGACATCAAAGACGAGATCCCTACACCTGACATAGCAATGGCTCATCTGCATCTCCGCCCAATTGCAGATCAGATGCCTGAAGCCCAACGTGACACCGACATCATTCTGCTCATTGGGACAGTTATACCATCACTTCACAAAGTTCGAGAGTCTAGAAACGGAAGGGGAACTCGCCATGGGCACAACGATTAGACCTCGGATGGGTCATATTTGGCAATACGTGTCTAGACGGTCGATCGTAAACCAGATATGAAAGAACATTACTTTGCCTCCACGCAAAATATTCTAGATAACGGGCATGCCGAGCCTGTGCCTCCAAGCGAAGTGGTTACATCAAAGCCCTGTTGGTTCTTGCCTCATTCCTACACAGATTGTTAGCACTAAGAGGTCCAGTAGCTCAGCTTCGTTCAGACTGCGGTACGAACTTCGTTGCGGAGCGGAATGAGTTAATTGGAAGCAGCGATGAACGAGATGGATAAAAAGATATCGAATGCTACCTAGTTCGCGAAGGTTGCGAATGGATCTTCAATCCTCCGCACGCATCACATGCGGGTTGGATATGGGAACGGATTACTCAAGGATGGACCCCCTCAAAGATTACTCAAAGATATACTCAAAGATGGACCCCCTCAAGCTAAGATAATTCCAAAATGTATGGTCATTAATACCCGTTCATTGGTCAAACCTGATGCTCTACCAGCATTGACGGCTGAACTTCTCCATATCAATATAGACGTCTGTTTTATTACAGAAACATGGCTAATTCATAAGTGCATCCCCACAACTTTAATATGTCCAAGTGGTTATACCATAGTTCGTAAGGATCGTGATTTTCGGCCAGGAGGTGGGGTTGTAGAAAGTTGTGTAGAAATGATTGGAAAATTATTAATGTCGACCTCGATAACAATTTCGAATGTATCTGGTGCGAAATTCACACTATGAATAGTTCAGTGTATCATCCACCTGAGCCAATTTACAACGAATCTGATTTGCTTAATTTTTTATCTGAATACTGTGAGAAGATCCCCCCCCCCCCCCCCCCCCCCCCCCCC